GGACTTCTGCCTTCAGCAGACTCTACCTGCTAATCAGGGCTGGTGAGGGCATGGGTCCAGCAGGGAGTGGAGCTGCCAGCATGTGCTGCTGTGCCTCCTAGGGACTTGCCAGACTCAGAAGGGATGGAAAGTAAGAAAACCACAGAGCCATGAAGACAACAGTAGAAAAGAGTAGGGACGTTAGGGAAGTGAGGCCTGGCAGACGTGAAGGCGAGGGAACGTGAGCTTCTGGGCAGGACCTTGTCTGTCCTACTGACATCCAGAACAATGTGCACGTGCACATGGAGTTTGTCCTCACCAAACAGAGAATATGTGTTCTTTTCAAACACATGTGTGTAGTAGTCATAAAAATTGGCCATAGATTGGGTCACAAAGGAAATCCCAACAGATTGCCAACAACAAAACCACATAAACCATATTTATTGCTCACAATGCTGTGAGGACTCAAAATTAGAGACAAAAACAAAGCCAAACCAACCAGAAAGCTATCCACTCTTCTAATTACCTTTTAATTTTGTTTAAATTGAGAATCACCTTGGAAGTGATAATTTACTTAGAAGAGTTTGACGATGGGCGCACTACCTATCGAAGCCTGGGATGCAAACAAAACTGCATTTCAGGGGAAATTCATTATATATTCACCCACATCATCTCTGTATAATGAATATATATATATATTCATATATACATATGTCAGCTTTTCAGTTTATGAATCGAACAGTTTTTGTTTTGCTTTTATATTAATAGTTTCCTCTTACTTTCCTGTTTTCTAATATTTTCTAATACATATGTTTTCTACATAATCTAACATATAAAATTCACTTCTAAAACTGCCTCTCAGTAGGGGCAGACCTGGATAGCTTTATAGGTGAATTCTTTCAAACTTTCAGAAAATTATCACGTCATGTAAAGTATTGCAGAAAATAGTAAAAACTAGAGAATCCTTGCCAAGTCATTAGTATAACCTGATGGCAAAGCCGAACAAGATGGCATGAACATGGAAACCTGCAAACAGAAACCAGTTTTTATAGAAAGGATTCAGGTCCCAATATAATTTATGCAACAAATGAAAAGACATTTCAGAGCTAAGCAATCTATTAATGTGATTTACAATCATTAACAGAAGAAAAACTATCTTCTCAAGAGATGGCAGAAAGCAGTTGATAAAGCTCACATTCCTGCTTTAAAGTGTTTAGGAAGCCAGGAACAGGCAGATGCTTCTTGGTTTTGAGAATATCTACTAAACATAGAGGAGGCAACATACTTGACCATGTAGCACGGCAAGCAGGTGCCTAAGGATGGCAGCTGGACACAGACCGAATGCCAATGTCACTATTGCTTCGGAGTGTAGCCTCGGTTGTCTCCAGGGCTTAAGACAAGCAAGAGAAATAAGAGTGAATCATGGGAAAAGCCATAAAAGTGTCCTCCGTGTGGACAGGATGATGATCTGCCTAGAATAGCTAAGAGAATCATGTCAAAGACTAGTAGGACTAAGAATCTATTAGGTGCTAAGTTATAAAATACAAACATAAAATCAACAGTGATCTATACACCATCAGAAACCAATTAGAATGTATAATAGATAAAAGAGATCTCATCCACAATGTCAACAACATGTATAACATATTGAAAAATCTCTGAACAAAAAAAGTAGGAGGGCTTTGAAAAAAATCTCTAAAACTTGAGTGAAAGTAAATTGATGGGAGACAAGTATGACACCATTGGATGGGGAGCCTCAATATTATAAAGACATAGATTTTTCCCAAAGAGATAAATGCATTTGGAGCAATCCAATCAAAACTTAAAAAAATTTTTTCAACTTGTAGAGAAGATTGTAAAAAGTCATTCATGTTAGTAAAGGATTGAGAAAAGTTAAGACACTTTATAAAATATCATCAATGAAAAACAACTGTGAAGGGAAGACCATCTACTGGATATCAGAGTACGTTATGAAGTTATTAAAATTAAAATAAAGTTGTTTTTGTACACAAATGGGACTTCTGCATCCATGGAACAAAATAGAGAGCATAAGGAAGCCAGGCTCATGGAATAAAAAAAGGTTAATATATATGAAAGGGGGCATCTGAGGCCAGCAAATTAAAGATGAATTATTTACTCATGGTTTGGTGACAAAGGCTTATTTTGAAACAATAAGGTTAGATCTGACCACATTATCATCTAGAAAAGCAAAGAACAGAGGAACCAAAGGGCTCACTGTAAATTACATTGCTCAGAATTGTCCCTGCATGGTGCAAGGTGATAATAAGAAGACTGACTTTTATTGGGCTTATTACTGTTTTAAAATTCTCTACAGGACGTGCATGCCCACTACTTGCACCCTGGATGGACGGCTCCGACTGCCTGTCAGGGACCACCTCAAGGCAAATCTTCGGCAGGTACTGTGTGAACACGTGCGCTGACATTTCTGCCGCTCACTGTTAATAGCAGGCGACAGGGGAATATGGAGAGTAAGAGGATGACGCTGCGAAAATACAGACACCTTTTCAAAAGTGTATTTCTAAATGTCCTATACACATGTGAATGTACAAATACATACCACTGAAGTCATTCTGGGGGAGATGGCGGGGATTTAGGTTGTGGTCGGGGGAGACTATATCTGTATATTCACAGTTTTTTTTAAAACATTATATTCATTTATTTATATAATTAAGAAATATGCAAACAGTTAAAAATACATCTATATCCTTGTATGTACATGTACACACATATATAAGATCTAACCTGAAATATATCTAACCTTATAAAATATATATGTATATATATATATAGTATGTATATATATGTGTATGTGTGTGTGTATATATACATGTAATTTTTTTTTTGAGAATTGCCTTAATAAAGGAAGAGGGTGAGCAAGGAGGACTTATGTTAGTGCAACACCACTGCCACCTACCGGGAAGGAGAGGACACTGCCAGGGAGGCAGAGAGAACACTGGCCCCGTCTTCTCCCTCTCAGTGCCTTGCAAAGATGACCACCAGAAGACAACCTTCAAGCCAACTCCCAATAGACAGGAAGCTTCACTCAGCCAGTGGGTGTGGATGCATGGCAAGGGAATCAGGCAGACAACCCTTAAGACTATCCCTTCGGGGGGTGCCTGGGTGGCTCAGTGGGTTAAAGCCTCTGCCTTCGGCTCAGGTCATGATCCCAGCGTCCTGGGATGGAGCCCTGCATTGGGCTCTCTGCTCTGCAGGGAGCCTGCTTCCTCCCCTCTCTCTCTGCCTGCCTCTCTGCCTACTTGTGATCTCTCTGTCAAATAAATAAAATCTTAAAAAAAAAAAAAAAAGACTATCCCTTTGGGCAAGGGACCCAAAGTCTCTGTCAGACAGTCTCCCCTTGAGCTAGAGCACAAGGAGTCATCACTGAATGGAAGCTTCTATTTCTGCTGTAGGACTGCAACGGCCCCACAGGACAAATTTGTAACGATCTGGTTTTACAGAGGAAAACACGAGACCTTGGACCAAAGAAAGGATGTTTTCTAGGCAACATATTAGCAGCTCAGGCAGGATTGATGCCTGATTCTGGGACCTGAGGGCCTCTGAGTCCACAACTATGTCCACGGGGGCCTCTCCATCAGGGATCCGGCTGATGCATTCGCAGTCATAGCAGACAAAGGTGATGTCCCCACCTGCATCCCCGAGAGCAACCTGAGTTGCCCGCAGCCACGGGGGACAGTTTCTAGCTCACTGATCATTTCCCACCTGAGACCTGGGTCTCTCTCTTCTTCTTTGCCTGAAGGATTTTTCAGTTGTGCATGGAGTTGATGCTCCCTTGGGGGGGGGGGCCACTCTGTACCAAAGGCAGTTGGGAGACTGTGGATGAAGACTACTGTCCTCAGGTGAGGGGTGTGTCCCACATGGTTCTCTGAGGGTCCCTGGTGGGATGCAGCCCCAGTAATCTATAGCCTTCCTTAATAGGCCCTTCTCACTGCCCTGGCTCACTCTTGGGGTTCCTGGGATTTCCTTCCACCTAAACCTACACCTGAATCCTTGACTCGGAGGCTGCTTTGCTGAGACCCAAACTAAGGATGCAGGGCACGGTGGTTGACTATTACTGGAGAGGCAGTAGGGTTCCAGAAGTGGGTATGGTTTCTCCAGGAGTGTGAAAAGTCAAGTTGACGGCAATGTGAGCCTACAGAAGGGAGAGGAACCTAACTAGATCTTCCATTAGACACTCAGTTTCAAATGCAATCCATTGTTTCTATAAGGTCATTCAAAGCAAACGGTGTGAGAGTGCACGCATGCGTGTGTGTGTGTGTGTGTGTATGGGTGCATTTTTCTGTGAAGAGAGTCCATAGATTTTATCAGAGTCTCAAAGGAGGTTCCTGAACTAATCCTTATGGGCAGAGCCACTGAGGATTCTGAGAGGGGATGGGAGGTGGCCAAAAGAATCACAGAACGTGAGTAAACTGTGCCCTGAGTTATCATCTTGAAGTAATATTTACTGAGCCCTGTACCACGACTAGGACAGAGCTTAGTTCATTATAAATATTGTCTTATTCACTCATCACATTATCCTTTGAAGGGGGTGGTAATAGTATCTACATTTACAGATGAAGATACTGAGCCCTAGCCCAAGGTCACATGGCTGGATCTGAAGCCAGGCAGCCTGTCTCTAGACCCCAAACCCTTAGCCCCAAGCCAGCGGCCCTCAAGCTTTAGGACAGCAGAATCCCCAGGAGACTTGGTGACCGCACCTGCCTGGACCCCATCCCCAGAGTTTTTGAGTGGGGCAGGGCCTGGGAGTGTGTATTCTAACTCGTTCCCCACTGCTGTTGCTACTCTGGGGGTCACACTGCAAACCCGCTTGGAGCCATAAGCTCTTGTCTCCAGAGAGGAGGTCACAGAACCTATCTAGGCTACTCAGCTACTTAGCAGCAAACCAAGACGAGAATCTGGGTCTGTGAATTTTAACCCTTTCCACACCACTCCTGCTTGGAGGAGGGCACATCCGGCTGAAAAGCGTACACCACTCCGATTACCTGTTGTATGTCCAGCCCCTGGGAATGGGCGTTGGGAGAAGACAATTCCTCACTTGGCTCCTCGGAGCCCACGCGGGCCCTTCTCCACTTCCTGGTCTTCCGGTCCATGGCGTAGGGGGCCTCTTCAGGCTCGCTGCTGTCTGAGGTCTCCCTGCTGGGGGCCTGGGGGTTGAAGTTCACGTCCAGTTCTCCCTGCAAGCGCAGCTTCTCTGCTGTGGGGTCCCTGGGGGCCTTCCTCAGCAGCCAGGACAGTCTTGCCCGGCGCCCAGCTTCCCGGCAAGAGCCTGCAGAGGAGGTCTCTGAGTCGGAACACATGGCCTCGGGGTTCGGAGAGAGCCCAGAGTTGGCGGCTGATGGGCCTTGGTGCAAGCTCTGGGCCTGTGTGGGCTGAGGCTGGGGGTTCCTGGGCTGGCCTCGGGTCCGTGGGCACAGTGTACTCAAGGCCTCACTCCAGTCAAAGTCCTCCTCGCTGTCAGAGCCCATCTCGTCGTAGGCAGAGGCCACGCTGGAGGCTGCCTCCAGGACCTGGAACGTGCCACTCTTAGGTTTGGCCAGCAGGCGGGTGGGCAGCAGAGTACCATCCTTCAGGGCCACCCAGTTCCCATCGGGGCTCTGCAAAACCTCGGCCAGGTCTGCGGGGGGAGGGAGGGAGGGAGAAACCAGACAGGGCTGTTATCAACTGACGGCAAGGCGAGGCTGCCCTCTGCGTCTTCCCCACTGCTGCCTCGGGGCCCCAGGAAGCAGCTGACTCTGGGAAGTCCAAAAGGGCACACCTCTTTAGGAGGCAGAATCGAAGGTCCCCAAGAAGCCCCTTGAGGCCTTGCAGGCCCCAGTGCTCCAGGGATGAGGAGATAACTCAGAGGTCAGGTTACTAGTGCATCTCTGCCTGGGTGGATGGTCCCCTCTATCTCAGAATGGCCCCTCTCCTGCCCTGAGATGGCTGGGTTGGAAAGGCAGGGGGTTGGGGGGACAGCTACTGTTAGCAGCCTCAGGTCTGGCTCTTTGCCCTTGGGCCATGGCTGTCCCTGGTCAGATGGGAGAGGACTCTGTCACCGGCCCTGGGCTCCCTCAAGGTTAACACACTCTGCCCTTGGCACTCCTAGAGATCTTACCCACAACGGCCTTGTGAGATGGCAGTGTGAAATAAGACATGCACACGCACACACGTACGCACCAGACTCTGCTCCCAGTTCCTGTTAATATTTGGTCTTTGACCCCAGTTCTTGACACAGGGCTCCTCAATTAAATCCCTTGTAATTTCCTGGGTGACAGGAGCCTCTTTTGTTCTAAGGGGGTGACTCTGGGCGGCTCCAAGATGGGACTGGCCACCAGAAAGACCAAGCCATGATTAGAAATTCAGAACTTTCAGCCCTATCCCCATCCCCTGAAGAAGGAAGAGGGGCTGGAAAATGAGTTAATGATCGACTGTGGCTACGGGAGGAAACCTCCGTAAACGTCTCCCAAGTCTGGGGTTCCGAGAGCTTCCTGGCTGGCACGTCTGCGTGCCTAAAAAGGCACCCCAGCTCCTCGGTGCTCAGGATCCTCCAGGACCTCACCCAGTGAACCTCTTCATCTGGTTGTTCATCTGTATCCTCTGTTATATGATAAACTGGTGAACCTAAGTGTTTCCCTGAGTTCTGTGAGCTGAGCTGCTCCAGCAAACGACTGAACCTGAGGAGGGAGTCGTGCACAGCTGGTCGGTCAGAAGTCCGAGGGATGACATGGGACTTGTAATTGGTGTCAGAAGCCACATGGTCCTGAGCCCTTGATGGTGGGATCGGGAGCTACCTGCAGGGAGGCAAAGTCAGCACGGAGCTGGAGGCCCCCAGGCTGGTGTCAGAGAACTGGTAGATACGGAAAAACCCCACACATCTGGTCCCAGAAGTGTTCTGTATGAGCCGCAGAGGGGGACAGAGTTTATTCCTGCTCGCCACGTAAGTTTATTTTCAACTCAAGGCACATGCCTCATTCCGGAAAGGATGTGAGGGAGAAGGCGGTTGGTAATTCCAATCTTCTTTGACAGATGGGAGACAAAGGTGAGCGAGGTTACGTAACTTGTCAAAGGTCACAGGGCTCATACCTGGTCAAATTGGGATGATCTCTGTCCAATACCGAGACGGCTCTGGCTTAGAGACTGTGCTGTGGACACCAATGAAGGCACTGATCAAGGGGAGGCTGGAGTGGTCCTCACTGGAGGTCATGATCTGGGTTGGCCTACAGTGGGCTCAGTTTTGCCCAGAGCATCCATGATGGCAGGTGACTGGGGCCCCAAGGGTAGACCTGCATGGCAGAGGGTGACAGCTGCTTGATCTTTTTTTTTGCGGAAGCCAAACAGGATAGTGCACCCGGGGAGTGAGCAGGATGGTACGGTGCTCCTCCCAGCCACGAGTACCTGGGAAAGCCCCGCGGCCTTGGGCACAGCAGTGGCCAACAGAAGCTGTGTTCCTGTATTAGAAATCTTACAGGACTCCCTGGGGTTTGCGTGATGAGGACCACGGGGCTTTGGACGAGACCCCCTTGTGTGCGGACACGAGCTTCTGGGCTGGAGGCCTCCAGGGGCCACAGGTCCACTGTGCTGGGACACTGGGGCAGCGTCTTGCCAGAGGTCGTTTCGAACACAGATTTCCTACTAGTTAAATGATTACTGTTTCATGTAATGAAGTAAAAGTTCCTGGTGTTTCACAGCGTTGTCCACAGAGTGCTGTACGTGCCAGGACTGCTGTAGGGCCACAGCCTTTAGGGAATTCAGATGTTGGTTGAACACATTTTCAGCTCGAGACCCCGGGGCAGCCCAGGCTGGCCGGACATCTGTATTCCCTTTCTTCTTGAGTCAGAAAGTGGGGCTTCTTTTCCTCCAGGAAGATTCCAGGCCTGGGGCTGATTTAAGCACAGTCTTCCTGGAAGTCTGAGGGCCTGGGTCCTGCCTTTCCCTGGCTGCTCCCTCTACCCTTAGGGTCTGTCCCCACCAGCATCTCCACATGGCAAAGCTCCAGTGACTTCTCAAAGACCTCATCTGCTTGGTTGCTCTTTTCCCAGAGCACTTTCTTGTCTCTCTGCCCAGTTGTGGCCTCCTCCTTCCCTGGGTCTTGCTAGGGTGACAGCCTGTCTGGCTTCTGCCATGACCCAGTCTGGGTTCTGGCTGATCACGCACGTGGCTGAGCCCTCCTTCCAATGATGACAAGGTTCCTTTGCCAGGGGCTGGATCTCAGCGACCTTTCCAGCCTGCTGCGTACCCCCAGTTGGCGCAGAGGGAAGAGCAGAGGCCGCTGAGTCGGGGGCCTGCGGGGAAAGCTCGGGAAGCTTCTCGGGCTTGGTACTCTCATTGGTGGAAAGGGGCACAGCTAATCCCGCCCTCGTTGGGTGTGGGGATTAAATGAGGTGACACCCACCAAGCCAGTTACACGTGCCTGCTCAGAGCAGGAGACGAGTTCTTCATAGCACTTTCCCCCTTATCCATCCCTGGGCTGCCTTAGAACTTTGGAATCAGGAGAGCCAGGGCTGAGCCCCAGTTGTTGTGATTCCTGGCAGGGGACCTTGGTCAAAGAGCACCTCTGAGCCCGTTTACTGACCTAAAATTGGGGACAATGCGACCCTCTGTGGCTGTCAGAGGATTATTAGAAGACAACATATGTCAAGCCTCGATCGTACTGTCTGCTACCCCTCAACCTTTTTACCTTCTGCCTGCTGAGTTGGCCTCTACCATTGGCCATGTACTGCCTACACAGGGATTCATACCTACCTACCCTGTATTTACGACTGTGTACCACAGCAACTACTGTCCTTGGCCATGGAAAAGTGCCGAAGAGAGCCTAACGACGGCGTTATTGTCATTTGCAGGTAACGGGCTCTACCTGTTGTGGTGGTAATGGTCTTCTGGGGAAAAGGGTTTCTATGTTGCCGGCATTTTCCCAATGCCATGTCCCAGTCTCATGGGTCAGGTGGTGTGGAAGCAGGGACCACAGAGCCCGCCTGGATTTTTCCAGAAATATGCAGGCTTTCTCTCTGAGAGGCTGTTTGTGGCCAGTTAAGTGGTGATTTTGATTTCCCCAGCAGCAGGCAATGTGGGTCTCTTCGGCCTTCACCCTCTGGGCTTCCAATTGCCAGCACTTGCGATTCTTGGCCTGAGGTGTGCTCTGGTTAGCAGAGGCTGCTTGGCTGCCCCAGCAGTGGCGGTCATCACAGCCTCCAGGAGCAGCCCTCGACCAGTGGCAGCGGAAGCTGGTGGATTAGTACCCCCTTTCCTTTGCCTGCTGCTGCCCAGGAGGGCGTTCTACACTGGTTCTTGCTGTTCCCCAGCCCTGCTCCATAAGGAGTCATTTCCTTGCCTTGCCTTCCCTTCCCTGTCTCATGTCCCCTCCTCCCCTCTCTGTGTTTCCTGAGCTCACCTCCAAACAAGCCACAAGTCCTCAGATCTTTCTATTAGAGTCTGCACACAGACACACTCCCATGATGCAAAGCAGACTCGCCCTGGCTGTGGAGAGGGTTCACCTTGAGGGGAGAAGTGTGGCCACCCCGCCCCGCCCAGCCCCACCCCGGGCCCTATATTTAGCTGTTAAGTCAGCCCTCTGGATGGTCTTTGGAGACCCAACTCCCATGCTGCTTCTCAAGGACACATCCATGGCTTTCTTACCTTAAGAAGCTAGACTACTCTGTTCTCTGGACTTTGCAAAAAGCTTTCATTTTTGAAGACTTAAACTATACTAGAGCTAATTTTCCTGGTTGTCTACCCCCAGTCTCCTTGCCCCGCCACAACACTGACAAGAGGATGCATTTTCTTCACTGCCCTACCTCCAGTCCGTGAGCAGTTCTGGAACCTGCCCGGGGCTTGTAAAGACTACTTATTGGTGAACCCAGGCACCCACAGGATGCGGGGGCAAGACTGCGCTCGTGATGTTAGGCCCTCCATGGCCCTGCTGTCTGCATCCTCTCCTGGGGTCACGGGAGGAAGTCACAGCAGGAAAGCCCCGATGAATGCCACTCTGTGCCTGGCTCCCGGTGGTCATGCACCTGCCTTCGACACCCGCTACCCGGAAGGCAGGGATTCAGTCTGTCGCTGGCCCCCCTCTTCTGCCTTTCACAATCCCAGTTCACCACATTCTCCTGAGGAAGCTAGAAGCTGGCCAGCTTTTGTCTCCGCAAAAGCATAGCGGGCTTCCTGAATGCCCACCCCTGTGAAAACCTGTAAGGAGCGTGGTCGGAACTGCTCAAAGCTGTACTCGGGTCCCACTACCACACTCTCTTAGTCCTCTGGGAATAGCCATCGAGGACCCTGCACCCTTCCATTATCTCCTTTGTCCAAATTCTTTCCCTTCCGTGACTGTGCGGCAACAACCAGTCAGCAACTACAGAGCAGGGCCCGCCGTCCCCAATGGCTATTTCCAGCACCGAGCATGTGCTGTGCCTATAGTGGATGCTCATTCAAGGTCTATCAAGGGGAAATGTGTTTGGGGAGGCATCCACTGACTGCTGCGAGCTCTCCCGGGGCTCAAAGTGGACCTGTTGTGGTTTACTCAGCCCACAGTGTCCCTCCAGCTGACCCCAACCACGAATTAACAGGCTCTGGAAGCCACCTTTCCCCCAGGGCATGAATAGAACTGCGGAAAATAGCCAATGGCCATTAACCAAGATGACCTCTACCTCTGGGTCTCCTCTCTTCTACATTTCTGCTCTGCTGAGACTGGGCCCTGCTCCCAGGTATAATCTGCTTCCCGCTAAACAGATCAGACACTCCTTGAGACCTGTGGGGCTGGTCTGGACATTTTAGCATGTCAAGGTCAAGCATTCCTCAGAAAAACCAGAGGTTTTCTACACAAGTGCTTTATAGTTGTTATTTTAAATCTCTAACCTGAGAGATGCATGGAGTTTTTGAGAAGAGTATGAAATCTTTCCTGTGTGTGGTATTGTTGAACTAAATTTTGTGTTTATGTACCACTGATACGTAATTACACGGGTGCTTCATTTTACAGAAAATTAGGTAAAAAGAAATCATGTTTTGAAAATCAAAACCCTTTCCAAATTTATTTGGAATGCTCCTAAGTCAGCAGGGAACTATTTTGTGAAAGGGAGTGTTTTCTAGAAGTTCTGATCATCTCCTCTAAACTTAACCGTGTGTAAGCGTGAATTCTGAAAGGCTATTTGTTGTGGTGTTGCTTATTTGCTTGCCTTTATGGAGGGAGGGACACTTATTATCATGCAGTAGTTGAAAAAGCCTGCAAATTGGAGCCATAAGGTTTGCATTTGGCCACATTAGCTGTGGGATCTTGAACAAGACACTCACCCTCATTGTCCCTCAAGGTTCTTGTCGGCTACGTGAGAGGGTGGTAACGCTCCGTAGCGCTGTTGTTGGAATGAATAAAGTAATGCCTGCAGATGGACCCTGTACGTGGTGAAGTGACATTTAGAGGGTAGTTATTATTGTTTATGGAAGATAAGCATATGCCCTGTGGAATTTTAGAGCCCCCTCTCTATGGGAACTTTCAGTCTCTGGTGAGAGATAGAGAAAGGAAGAAAGCCTATGAATGAATGAAGAGATACGTTGGGCAGCAGGAGGAAAGGAAAGAAAAGCTTACTTAGAATGGAAAAAGGCACTTCAAAAACAAAAACCCAAACCATATACATAAATAGGGAACATTTCATGTGCTCCCAGAATCTCTGCAGATTCTACTGACAGGTGGGTTCTACTAAAAGGTTCACATGGAAATGATCTGTTTTGGGAAATTTTTAGAATGACTGTTAAAAAGCATTGCATGCTTTGTGGTTCTTTGCACCTTGAGGACAATGGAATTTGTTTCAATAGCTGTGGATTCAATATTTTCCCTTAGAGAGTAGAAACGATAGCACAATCTTTAAAAACCTATTTCTAAGGTGAGTATTTTGTTGCTAATTTTTGTGGTTGTTGTTCAGAAACAGATTCTAGATCTGACATACAGTGGGAGTTGAGAATCCTCTCATGGCTTCTTTTGTGAGGACAATGCTCCTAGCTTCCGTTACGTGTGGTCGGGTGAGGAGAGAACAGACCTGTGCCAGGGAGGAGCGAGCATCTTGGCTTAGACAGTCATGGAACCCAAGACACCCGGGTGGCCTGAGCAGGGGACTTCGTGGCCCTCAACGGTTACCCATGTGGTTCCAAGCACCTCCAGCCTTTGGATGTGTAACTTTGGGAAAGTGACTCAGCTAATTGGAGCATCTTCATTGTGAAGGATTAGGTGACGAGACTGGTTTATGACGGACTGTGTGTCATGGATGTTGAGTCTCTGGAGAGGGGAGCTCAAGGGCTTTATGCAGAGGTGGGATGTTCTAGGAGAAGGAGCAGGAAGAACGGGCAGCAGGCCATCCCCAGGTGCGGTGGGGATGACAGATGTCCATCAAGGACTCCTGTGCACCCAGCCAGGACACCTGCCAGGCCCTCTGCACTGAAGTTGGGCTGTGTGACTGGTTCCTGTCTGTGGGCTGGGAGTGAAAGTGGTGTGGGCCATGTCCCTGCTGGGGTGGTTAGGAAGCAGATGCACTCACTTCTCTGTTCTCTCTTCCTCCATCTGCTGGCCGGTGTGAATGACCCAGCAGAAAGCTCAGAGGCCGTGGAGGACAGCAGAGCCTTGGGCCTCCGCAGACCTCCCACAGCCAGGACACTGCATTGCACTGGTGTTTGATGAGAACCTAAACTCGTATGTTAAGCCACCTAAATGTTTGGTTTCTTTGTTATGGGAGCGAGTATCACCCTCACTATTATGTAAGGTTTCAAAAAGGACACTCTTAAAACCAGCCCTCACTGAGACCCAAATCCTCTGAACACTGACATAGCTTGCTAGGTTGGATTAGTGTTTCTGGCCTGCATGAGACCTGTTCTCCTGGTCCACGTGGAATGGGAAGCTGAAATGTGGCCAGGAAGCTGAGGCATTTTTAACACCCTAGCCCTGGAGCACCCCAGCCCCCACTGTCCCACAGGTCTCAGCGGGAAGACTGCCCAGTGGAAAACACAACTGCATTATACGTGTGTGCTTGGTAGAGGCCTCATGACTCGGTGGCTCGGCGGCCCCAAATGGGCCCACACCAACTCGGGCTGAGCAGGAAGAAGCCTCCCAACAGCACTCCTGGGACCCACAGACCAACCAGATGCCACTTAAAACCGTTACTTGTCTCGTCCAGCCTGTCCGTGCTCTTCCAGCTGGGCAAGGTTGCCTCCTCCCGCAGTGGCTGGGCCTGGCTCCTCCGCAGTCTCGACACAGCCTCCAGGGAAGGGGGCTTCAGGGCGTCCTCTCTGGGGAGTGAGAATGCAGACTGGGACTGCTGTGGAGAAAAAAGAGGGGAAGAGAGCGGACTGAGGGGCACAGTCATGGGGAGGGATGCCTTCCACTTTCTGGTAGACGACACAGTGTGGAGAAGACATGTCTGATGGTGTTGGTTCTTCCCGCGCTGGGGCTTCCAGCTGCAAACAGTGTGTAACGCTATAGGACAGTGCCAACAGGCCCTGCTGATTCTGCTGAAGCTGTGCCAGGTCCACCCGAAAGCATCAGAACCCTAGTGGGTAGTGGCTGCAGACAGCCTTTTATCCAGCCACTTTCCTGGCAACATTTCTTAGGTCAACCGTGCTCAAAAAAGAAAGCATCTTCCCTCGGAAGACCTCCAAACCCAAGGTTGGGCAGAAACTTAGGGCGCAATGTCAATCCTACGACAGATCCGTGAGCCAAGTACGGCCCATCCACAAACCTACAACTATTGCAACACGTACCACTTAGCGTCTGAATTAAAGAAGGGAAACGGAGCTGTTACCTAAGAAGCGGAGGCAGTGAGATTTCAAAGGACAGGCGGAGACACTGTTTGAATCATATCACAGGTACATGGAGGGCGAGGTCTGAGCTGGAGGACAGCCAAGCTAACACACACACATCAAGAGGCTTTCAGCTGAGTGCTGCTCCCTTTATTCCAAGGGCAAGAAAGCCCGGACTCTGTCCCTTGTGTCGGGAAAACAAGGTTTTCATGGGGATGGGTATTCAGGGAGCCGCCTATGATTTTGCTAAATCCTTATTCTGATGAACAGCTTCCAGAGAGAAAAGAGATCAAATCTGATGGTCAAATGAAGTTACTAAAAATGAAGGAAAAAGTCTTTCTATGGCAAACTCCTGTGTACTCAGGTAATATACCCCTGACACTCATCCCACCGTGGTCCGGCAAGAAACCTCCCCTTTGATGTAATCCCACACATAACTGCATATACTGTCTCACAGTCCTACTACAACCTTTCAGTTCTTCCAAAGACCGTGAGCTCCTTGACAGCAGGAATGGTGTTTTGGATGTGATCCTTGGTTGCCTGTTTGTGACTGAATTTCCAGGACTTCAGACAGAGTTTAGACAGACAGCTCCTTAAGGGAGTTGACCATCCTTCGCCAGGTACGGTATGGAGAGTATGGAGCCATTTTCTATGCCCTGACTTTGCCTTTTTTTTTTTTTTTAAATATCTGACAGCTTCTCACTATAAATCACTGAACACATGCTTACAAAAGAGGAAAAATGACACTGAATGTTTCACTTTATAGGGGGTCACATGGTATTTTATATTTGTCTGTATGCGTCTTTAAGAGTGAGCTTGGGTCCATTTTTATGGGACAAAAATGCTCCCCATCTACAAAAGCCTACACCAAGAAATGAAAAGTCCCTGTGGTTCTAACACGGAGGATGACATCTCTGTTCTTTGCGAGTGAGTTGGGGACCCCAGACTTTTACACTAGATTTCAGGCAAGCCATTGTTTCACACTAGAAGAAAACTATACCCTGACAACCACAAAAGACCCCAAGATCTGGCTTCAGTAGGTTTCAGGACACCTCTGGCCCTGTCTCCAGCCAGGGTGGAAAAGCTCCCGTTCTGAAACCCAGACCCAGTTTTGCCACAAATTCAATGCAATAAACATATTTACCAGCAGATGGCGACAGGATAATGCATTTATTCACCACTTAGCTCAACCTCTGGCTCCTGGGAAGTGAAGGGATTACTGGAGTCTTATTTGCTCATGATCCTAGCTGGGCCTTTGTGCCCCCTCCTTTGTTCTCACCCATGACCTCTGCTTTCCTTCCCTTCCTCTTACCCACCCTACTGTCCACGGAAGAAGCAGGTCTGATAATAATAGGAAGGGCTGGCCTGAGTTAGTGTCTGCATGTCTATAAAGGGAGGGCGGGAATGGCTGGTCCATGGTCCAGGAGTATCAAGGTGCCAGCAAGGTCTTGCAAAGAGGAACTTGAGAATCTGCGTGTTGAAACAGGTCAGCCTCAACTCTTCAGGCACCAGCTAATGGGTGGTGTGTTTGGCACTGGGTCAATGCCAGCTTCCTCTTGCTCTGTGGGATTCTGCGGGGGGTGAGGGGGCTTCAAGTGTTCTGTGCCTCAGTTTCCTCATGTAAAAGGATCAGTGTCATGCCTGGTACATAAAAAGCACTCAAGGAGTATTAGTCAAAATAAGAGTATTTATTACACTCTACCGCTGAGCCGGGACAACATAGGCATTCTCTCACTTGACCTGATAGGGTGCACATGAGGAAACTGAGGCAGGGGTTGAATAACTTGCCCAAGCACATGGTTGGTCAGGCGGCAGAGGCAGGGTCTGACCTGGGGTCTGTCTGGCCCCATGCTGATGCGATTCCATGCCTTCTCCATGCTGTGCCGAGCCCATGCTGCAAGCCTGGGAACACCTTCCTCCTGGCTAACCTGCTCCGGCCGGGCAGGACTTGCCGTTTGAGCCAGGTGGCTCTGACACTCTGGGCGAAACACACAGCATGATCATGAGACCTTGCTCCACACTCGCTGCCTATCCTGTGTGGGCAGTGGCGTGATGTGCTCCTTGCATCTCTTGGAAAGGTCTACTGTCGCTATGACAAATAGGACCATCAGCACTGCCAACAGGGCGGACTCCCTGAGGGACTGACCATGGCACTAAAGAAGTCTTTACTCACAAGGAGGTTATTCCATAAAACAGGAAGAGGATGAATGACAACTGAGACAAAGCTTTGCTTTGTATTTTTGGGGTCCGGCATAGATACTAAATTCAATCCTGTAATTATAAATAATGAAAAATACTTTAGATCTATCCTGTAAAAGGAGAGAGCAAGAAAGAGGGAGGAAGGGACAGACACGTAAGAGGAAAGGCTGAGAAAAATAGAGAAGGATAGAGAGGGGACAGAGAGATGCCTCTTGGTCACTGGACGCATCCTAAGAGCCTGGCCTCTGGGGTCATCACGGTTATTATCAATAGGATCACCAGGTTATTATGAAGACGACTTTGTATATACATGCGCCCAAAGAGGCAGGCATTAAATGAATTATAAGACCTGCACTACAGGCTTTTAGGATACTGCGTCTTAAGGCTTTGAAAGCTGGATGGCACAGATCCCCTACTGTTGGAGAATCACACAATAAGGGAGGAAATTAACAAGAGAATGAACACATTCAAGTTTCTTCCAAGAGAACACAGGAGAACTCCTGTCTGCAGGGGATGGATTGAGTTTGGGTTTCAAAGTTAAGCCTAGCAGCCTGGCCTGCAGTGTTTTGAGATTCTGCATGGTTATGCCCTGGGCTAGAGGGGTCCAGGTTGTTGGGAAACTGAGGAAAAAGGGGAGGCATTGCCTGGAGGCCACAGGGTTATGGCCTCTGCAGCAGGAGGTCAGGGAGCCCTCCTCAAGAGAGAAAGAGCTATCCTTAAGCCTGCAGCCCATTAGCCTCACTGGGGGAGAATTGGGTCAGGTACTTGGATGCCCAGGCTGGACTCCAGACCCCATGAGTCGGAACCCCTGGAGTGGGGCTCTGGTGATGGTGCAAATGAGCAGAGGGGGAGGTTGGAGACCAGCTGGTCAAAAGATGGGAGGGCCACCTTCCCTGAGGTCCCCAAGAGCCAAGACTTGGCCTGCTGCTTCGTGTCCAGGATTTGGCCAATGATGAGGCACATTTCTGCATTTATGCCCTCTGCTTATCACTTCCTCCTTATCTCAATTCTAGACCAGTGCTGTGCAGCAAAATTTTCTGGGTGATTGAAATGTTCTGCAATGTGTAATACAGTACCCACCAGCCAGAGGTGCTACCGAGCACTTGAAATGTAGCCAGTTGAATGGAGGAGCTAGATTTTAAACTTTGTTTCATTTTAATTAATTTAAATTTGAATAGTCACTTGTGTCTCATGGCCACTGCAATGGAGAGTGCAGTCTCAGGCCTGAGAGATAGCTGAATCTGCTGATCTTGTTTCATAGAGGAAGAAGCTAGATCAAGGGCTTTGGAAGAGGAGAAAGGTATTCAACTCTCAGAGCCACCAATCACAAGCTATGGAGCCTTAGGCAACTTATGGTAAAGCTCTAGCCTCAGTTTTCTCATCTATAAAATGGGTCCAAAATACCCACATCTGCACCTTGTGGTGGAGATATAAAAGATATAACATGAGATGGGCAAACATGTATCTGTTCCTTAACCAGTCCTCATTCCCGCTCATTGGCAGCTAGAACTGCAGTCATCATGCTGTACAACCTGGGGGCACTGATCATGCTGGATTCTAGGTCAATGGTTGTGCAATATGGTGGCCTTGGCCAGGGTCAGTCCCCCTTAGGCCCTAACTCTGGGATATGGTGTTAGCACAGACTTTCACCACAGGGGACAGGGACCAGTTGCAGGCCAGGAGTGAGGAGAAAGCACGGGCTTAGCCATCAAGGTGAGATCCTGCACAGCGCATTGGAGAGGCTGACCTTTGTCCCCCAGATGTACCAACTCTTGAGGTCCCAGGCTGGCCCTGACCATTGGTGCTGTTCAGAGGGAAAGAGCTTGGGGTCCTGACCAAGGGAAGTCAGGCTGGGGTCTGTCCAAGGGTCAAGACCCACATGTAGCATTAAATGAAGGTCTGAAGACAAGAGAAGAAGGCAACAGGACAGAGATAAGGATGAAGGGAGGAAGGCTTGAGACATTGGGGGAAGTGGTGGGTCAGGGTCATTGGAAGGGAGCCAGTCCTTCCCTGCAGGCCCTCTCAGGGGCCTGGGCTGGCGAGCTTGTCTGGTTAGCCTGTTAATGGGGTTGGAGCCCAATGGGACAGCACTCACACAGAGGAGGTATGCCAGCCTCTTTGTCGCTGGAAGAGCCAGAACTTGGGGTAAGCCTTTCTAAACAGCTAACTAATCAAGATTCCATGGATTCTTATCACTGAGTGCTGCGTAAGGTGCAGACTCTCCTTCCAAATAAGGTTTTGTAAAAGCTCTAATCATGTGGCTGTCTTCAAACCAAACCAGGATCTACAAATGGCCTTCACAAGGGGCTGGACCCACCCCTGCGTGGATCCACACAGTCTCCTTCCTTCACAGGTATCCTGGGAACCAAGGGGAAGGGTTTGAGCCCAGGCCATGACAATCCCCACAAATCAACATGGTGCCATCAGGTGGCCATGGCCCTGTTATCGAGAAACGGCTGCCACATGTCCGGTGCTGGGCTGGCCCATCGCCTGAAAATACGTGACCACGGACAATGGGGGCTAAAGATCCTGGCCGCTCAAAAGAGCAAGCCGTGCCAGGGACCCCGCTGGATGATGGATTTCTCTTTATGCCGGGGTTCTGGCTGCTTCGTTTGCGGCAGCTCCCATGAGTACAAGCGTGAGTAGAGAAAGCCAAAGCATTCGCGTGTCCCTGACTGATAATGTTGACAGAAATATGCTGTTTACATATTGCAAATCACAGCTTAGGGAGAACTCACACCGAGAGGCCAAGAGGGGACTTCTTTGATCAAACATCAAAGTTAAGGATGGAAGGATTAGCAATAGGAGCGAGAGGATGATCCTGTCCCCTCTGTAAGGTGCCAGGCCCTGTGATTTGGGTGGTTAAAGTGTTATCCAAGGGGTGTATCGGTGGCTTTTCTGGGCTTTGCTCCAACTATAGCCTCAAGGATCTCTTCCACCCCCTCCCACACTGATGGATTCAAGACCCAGGAAGGTGGACATAGCTTGCAAAGCACTGTATACCTGAGATTCAAAAGATGCCTGCAGTGGGAGAGGGACTTCCATTAGGCCTTATCCTATATCAAAATCTAGAAATAAATCATATTCTGTCATTTGCTTCAGGACAAATAAGTAAGAAATGCATGTGCTCTGTCTTCATTGCTGTTGAAACCAACGTGACAATTGGGACGTGCGGGAGGCAGGCATTTGGCGAAACAGATTTTCTGGTGAGAAAAGGAAACCCTGAGAAGGTTTTTTTAGCAAAGCAAATGGGAACCCTGTGCGACTGACCCACAGTCCCCGTGTGCCTGCACCCCAGGTAGACTAGGGTCTTCCAGCCAGCTGAGGGGCTGAGTAGGAGGTCCCCCTGGGAAGCATCACTGCTGCTTGTTTTAAGCCACTTTCACCCAGTACTTGATGAAGGGGTGTGCAGGAAGCACTCTGCTGTCCTCCTGTGGAAAGGGGGTGCCCACTGCAGGCTGTTCCCACTGTCCGGACCCATTCTAGAGCCCACTGTCCCCCATCTCCGCGGACACACAGAGTGTCTCCAGCCTCAATGACGTGGCAGGAATACCATTTCTAGGTTGAATTGCAAGCATGACAAGGGGTCCCCCTAAACATTTGGTGGGAGAACAGGCATTTCATATCCATGAGCTGCCCCATGACCCAGGAGACAGGAGCAAAGTGGAGGAAATGCTCAGAGCCAGGAGACCTGGGTTCTGGTCTTGCCCCACCCCTCAACTCAATTCCAGTGGCTCAGGCTAGAGAGGCCACAGTTCACTGCTCTGTAAAATGGGGAGAACCCAGGATGCCCTTGTGTGGATCTCACGAAGTAATATGTATGAACACCATCCGCACAGAAAGTCTACATAGAGGAAGTATTGGTCCAATGCCGAGACTGGGGGGATTCACACCTCCTAGAGACGCCCCCCTCCCAAGCCTGACTCTTTCAGAAAATGCTTCCAAAAGACTTCCCAGAAAGCAGGGTGTCACTATGCATGCAGCCTGAGCTCGCAGCGGCAGGACGAGTTAGTGAAACCTCTGAATGACAGGCTATTTGAAGGTCATGGGGCTCTCTCTCTGCTGAACCCCAAGTCCATTTCCAGTCTCAGCCGTTCAGTGGGGCACCCACAGCCCTGGGCGGACTCGTACCCCAGCCTGCTTCGCTATCCGGATTATTCAGTTCCAGTGGGCCCAGACCGAGGCTCCTGTTTAGGTGCACAATGGCAGCAGTAAAGTAAGCTGATGGGCACGCTGACAAGGGAAGTTTCTGCCAATAAATCAGTGACGCTAACTCCCCGATAAAGCAATAAAGATGTTCCCTGTTACCCTGAGCATCTGGTGGCTGGTGAGGACACAGGGAGGTCTGACATGGTGAAGATACTGGGCATCGCTTCTGGGACCGCATGCCTACCATGCAGCTGGGCTGCACACCCGTTTTTATCAATCTGTTCACAGAGGGGACGAATGCCGCTGACCCCCAGGGGGAGCAGGGGAAACACATGCTGGTGATCTCCCAGTCTCTGACTTGCCAGTTTTAAATGGCACCTGTGTGCGCTGTCCTGACCTCACGCCCATGCTGGGACCATGGGCTCCTACCACTGCTGGAAGACAAGCCCTGCCAACCAGTCCCTGGGTTTGGGGTGTAATCTCTGCACAGAAGGCCTGGTTCCTTGGCCTCAGCCTCTGGCCTTCCCAGCCCCCACATCTTCTGCTGGGGCCACTTCAACAGGTAGAGGAGTTTACAGGCTTGTTGGTTCTACCATAGACACAAGCAGGCTCCAACCCTGGGGTCACAGCAAGGGCCCTGTGCTTTGAGTTGCGGCCCTTGGCTTAATTTCAAGGTGATGGACAAAGGGCTGGGCCACTCCCCGACTCCCCGCCCGTGTCCAGAGGTGGCCATTTCGGTGCCTCAAACGGCATGGTGATCTCACTGTCACGGCTCGGGTTCGGGAAAGCAAGGGGTGGAAGCTGTAAGGAAGCCCAGAGCCCTCATAAAGCTGTTCTTTTCACAGGAACAGTTCAACCCTCTTTGGAATGAATTTTAAAAATACCTATCGACACCTTTATTTTTCCTAAGTGGGTCCTGCATAAAAAGCCATTTGCATATCCTTAGGAGGCTGTTCTGTATTTACTCCCTCTGGCCCCTCTGGCCCCTCCTGGCCCCCATCACATACACTTTTCTCTGTTTCTCCCCCTGCCCCCTTTCGGGTACTTTTACCCAGTCGGGTGGGTACAGGAGTCAACTATAAGTGGTTGAGAGTGTTGGCCCCACGTCTAGGGCACCAGCTCTGATCAGTGCCTGGGCAGGACACCAGTCCGTGGTGGGGGCAGGATTATGCTTCGGGACTCACCCAGAGGGTGCAGGGAGCTCGGGGGCCTCCTGGGGGTGTGGCGGTCCCCCGGTCAGCTGCCTTGGCCATGCAGCTCTGGGGCTGCAACCACTCTGGCTCTTCTTCCATTTGCTGCTCGCCTTTGCTCTTCTGTTTCCTTATGATCTGGGGAGGGGGTGGGGGGACAAAAGGGGGCATGTTACTGGCCAGGCCTTCAGGTGCTATGTGGAGCAACTGGAAGCATCTCTGGGATGTGTTTCAGCCACAGAAGAACTTAGTTTCAACAGCATACCCATCTGTTTCAGTTATGCCTGAGGGTAAAACAGAACAACACCTTACATTTTGTAAATCATCCTTTTATGATGCTTACAACTTCTATTCATTAAATGCCTACCACAGGCCAGACTGTGGTAGGCACTGTATGCATTCCATGGCATTTAATCCTCAAAATAATCTTAAGAGCTATGGGCTATGACTCCTCATTTTGCAGATGAGGAAACTGGCTCAGAGAAGTTAAGCTACCAGTGAAGGCTGCACAGCTTGTAAACAGTGGAGTTGCCTTTTGAACCCGCAGTTTCTGGCTGTAAATCCTGGTTTCAGGAAGCACTGGCAGGGTCTGTGAAGGGGGCAGGTTCCAAGAGCCAGGAGCTGATGGCTCATTTTTACCACCTGCCATGCTGGGCACAGTCACACGGAGAGAATGAATCTATTTGTACAGTGGTGTTTGGGCTCCTGACTTCCTAGAGGCAGCTGAGAAGACTTCTGAGCCACCAATCTGGGTTTATTCTTCAATGCCCTTGTAGCCCAGACAAGATGAGAGCAGGAGGCCGAGTAGAGAGAGTGAGGAACGGAGGTGCCATGCCCTGGGGCAGATGGCGGGCCTGACCAAAGTGTACCCCCACCTCCCTGGGCTCTGGGATTGCTGGGGACTGGTCACATCCTGAGCCAGCCAGCTGCCCAGGGATCTGTCCCCGACAGTGTGTGTTGGACATATGGGGACAGATAACGTTTCCTTGGTTCCTATGTCTCAGCGTAAAAGCCCCGGAATCTGGATTGAATATACTATGAACTGTGGGTTGGATGAGACATCTGGGGCTCTCTGGGGGATTAGTGGGGATCTTCTGTGTGGGCCGTGCAGAAGGGACATGGATTTTGTGACCAAAACAGAAGACTTAACTTGTTCATTGCTTCCTGCATGCAGTTCTTTGTCATGTGACTCTGCATCTGTCCGAGGAAGGGGACAATAAGTATAAGCCTGTGGCAGTGGGCTGACTGGGTGCCTTGCTTTGGTCAGTGACAGGTGAGGAGGAAGTGGGTAACCACAGTAGTCAGGGCTGAGCCTAGGCCTTAGTCCGTATGGCAGTTTCCTCTTCCTCTCCTGTGCTCCTGTCCTGGGTCCTGGCCCCAGTAGCTGCTGTGCCTTTACTCAGGCCCCTGAGTGAACACACAGTGTGGACTCGAGCCCAACCCACAGCATGAGCCGGGAGCGGATGCCTGAGCGAGAAAGAAACTGAGCTCTAATAAAACATACATTTGGTCTTTGGCCTCGATTCCTGGCACTGAGCCCAAAAACCCTGGGAGTGTCTTTGTTATGCTAATGAGCTGACTCAAGGCTGGGAAATCTCAGCTCCCCCTTCTACCTCTGGGAGTGAGGGGGTACTGCGCGCCCAGGGCTGGGGCAGCCCCCTGGTGTCACCTGGAGGGCAGTGCGCTGGAGGGAGAGGGCATGGAGGTCTGCACACGTCCTCCCCCGCCTTGTTACCCTGTGTATCTCTTCATCCAGTTGTTCATTTGTATCCTTTATGATAAATCTGTCTTTGGAAATGCAGCACTTTGCTGAGTTTTGTGAGTTGTTCTAGCAAATTATCCCACCTGAGGGCAATCAATGATCATGGGAATCCCTGGATTTGTAGTAGACTGGACATCAGTGCGGTAACTTGGGGATACCTGACACCTGTCCCTGGTATCTGCAGTGGGGGCACTCTGGTGGGGCTGAGCCCTTAACTTGTGAGGTCCATGCTAACTCGGCATAGATAGTGTCAAAACTGAGTTGTAGGACACTGAGGTGGTGTCAGAAACTTGCGTGTGGCATCACAGAAATCATCCTTGTTTGCAGACACAGAGGTCTGGCGCGGTTGGCTTCTCCACAGTAATGAACGGATACTTCATGCAAGGAACGGTTTACGGCATGGAGGTAGCAGGAGGTGACTGCGGGTCAGCAGGAGACCGAAACTTGTGAGAAGGACACACATATGTGCACACATGCAAACACGCACAAGCGGGGAGGCTAGGAAACAGGAAGACGGTGAGTAACCTGCTCAGTGCTGAGTTCCTGGCTCCTTACCCGCCAGCTCGATCCCTAAAGATGACCCCATTGGATCCCTCCACTCAGACTCTGCAGCGCCATGCAATCTCTCCGCAGTGGCTCCCGGGGCACAAAAGGGAAACGTGATGTGGCCCAGAAATGGTGCCCAAGACAACAACGGGGCCCATGGTTGCTCTTCCGCTGGCCAAGACTCTGATCCAGGCCAGGGGTGGGGAGGGGTGGGGGGTGAATGGCATAACGGGATGGCAGGGCCCACCTACCTTCTGCAGGATAGTTGTGGCCAGTTCCTCGGTCAACTCTTCCTTGTGGTCCCGCAGGTAGCTGGCCTCGTTCTGCTTGTCCTGCAGAGGGAGGGAAGAGAATGGCTGCTGTGGGTGGGTGGGTCAGGGGATGTGGCCATCCCTGTCTTGGGAGTCCTGACCAGAGACGCAGGGGGAGGGTGGGCCCCGCTCTTGTCAAGGACAGCCACTGTGAGGCTGGTTTCCCTACAATCTGGACTCTCTTCCGGCAGCCAGGACCTTGCCCCACACCTCCCCCCAGCAAGGACAAGGTCATACCAGACTGTCCCCGTAGGCTTCTGCTTTGGAAATCGCCTCCTCGATGGCCTCTTCAGCCACCCGCAGGGCGACAGCCAAGGTGTCCATCATGCTGTGTCCTATAGAGTAAACAGAACACAGACCACTTTCTGAAAGGGAAAGACAAGTCAAATGATTGTTCCACTTCAGTTCTTCTGTTTAAATCTTGCAGGGGCTGGGGGCTAATTTCCCCATTGCTCAACTTGGCACACCAGCTCCAGCCCTTCTCCCCTGCCTCAGTCTCCCCCTCCCCCACAACCCCAGACACAAGAAATCGTGATTCTTTGAGAGGTACTGTCTCTCCCTTCATGGCTCCTATATCTTGGCCTTCTTTCCTCTGGTCCCTGCTCTGTACCTGAGCTTGTTCCTGGGGCCCCCAAGGCTTGGCCCAAGGGTTCCTCCTCTGAAAAGACTCCTCAGATCTCTCCAGTCCCCATCTCAGCTGGATGTCTGTCCGAGACTCTGGAGTTTCTGGAGTTTCCCGCGGAACCAGAAAGACTCTCTCCCAGCCAAGTCACTCTGAGAGAGCATGACTGCATCACACGCAGTCCCTCCCGACAGGCAGACTGCCTTACAGATAACTGCTCTCCTAGAAGTGCTTCATATAAAGAAATAACAGCTCTTTCATCAGCTTTCTCAGATGAAGGTTATGTGTTATTTTGTGCATTTCACGTATCACTGTGACGATAGGGATGGAAATTATTCAATGTTCTAAGGGCATTGGACAGTACACATGGTTTAATGCAAATACAAAACCCGTGGAAGCAATGTTTAGACTCTAAGCCAATTTTGTCAAGAACAACAGCACTGGCCAACCTCACCAAGCTCGACTACCTGCCGGCCCCAGGCTGAGTGTTATGTGCGTGGCCACAGTTCATTTGGACCACAGTCCACTGAGTGGGTGCCATCTAACGGACAACAGAACTGAAGCACAGAGAGGTCAAATAACTTGGCTGAGGCAACTCAGTGTGACAGGAGGAGAGATGAGTTTTGAGTCCAGGACTCTGTCTGCAAAAGCCCTTGATTTTGACTACAATAGTGAGACAAATACAAGCTCACATGATTTAGAAAAATAACGCTAGCATATTTTTAGCAAGCATATTTTTTGCAAATGGCAACAGGTGGAAGGAAACATCCCCACGTCAGAGGGCTTCTGTAGGTGACAAAATTCTTTTTGGAGCTGAGTGCTTGGAAGAGCTCTGCTTTCCCAGAAACTCAATCTTTGAAGTGAGAATTTCAATCATCCCTCCCTTTGCCCCAGAAGCCCAATTCACATCAGGCCCAGGAACACAGGTCTGCAGGGGCTACATGTCTATGCCTCCTTTGGCCAGATTTCAACTTCCTGTTTCCATTTATACTCTCTTACTCATGCATTATTTAACACATGCAAACCTCCTGAGAGCTGCCTCAAACTCTCTGTAGAATGAGACTAAGCATAAATACATCAATTCACTCATTAATCAATCCCTCAATTAAAAAAAACCTTGATTCAAGCTTTGCAGGTTCCTCAAGACACAACTGTGAACAGAAATTGGCATCTGGCAAACATATAAAATCTCCAAAACCAACCCAGGGATGCTCAAAGAGATCCAGCAAGCTGACGGGTCCATCAAAAGCTGGCTATGATGACAGTCACATCAGGGCTCTGTGCGCCCCAGGGTGGCCGACTGAACATGCAGCTTTCCCAGTGTTTCGACAGGTATAGTCTACAGAATTGAGATTGTCATCACACCACGTGCTCCCTAGAGATAGACACTTGTACCTCCCGTGTCTCTTCTTCGAGATACCAATCAACGTATTTTTCTCACAAGCCCTCGCTAGCCCTGGGACATCCCAATGGACAAGCCAAGTCCACACTCTCCCGTGCTCCCCAGGCTATGGGGTGAGCAGGCACTTACGCTAAGAGGCTTGCGGAAGGACCTGTGGTAGGTATCGTTCCCCAGTTCCACAGATCCCTGGCCAGTAAGAGCCTGGAGCCATAACCCAGAGGCTCCGAATGCTATATTCATGACTTCTGGATGAGGATGAAGTGGGGCACTCAAGATGTTTTGGTTGAAAGTGAAGACTCAGGTTGGTGCTGCAGAGGGAATGACTGGCAGGGGTGTGGAAGAAGGAGAAGGAGGCGAGGCAGAGTGACCGAAGCTTGGAGGACCGGTAGACAATGGGATGTCAGTTTTAGGCATCATCCTGGCTGGGCTGTCATACCCACTGATTTAATCCAACACAAATCTAGGTGTTGTCATGAAGGTATTTTGTGGATGTGGTTAATATCTACGATACTTGACTTTAAGGGAAGGAAATTGCTCTTGAGGTAATGTGGGTGGGTCTTATTCATGCAGTTGAGAACAAAGCCCTTCAGAGCAAAAACTAAGGTTTCCCAGAGAAGAAAGCCTGTCTCAAGACTAAAGCATTGGCTTCTAATAAATGAAACAAGATGGGATTGGGAGGGAGACAAACCATAAGTGACTCTTAATCTCACAAAACCAACTGAGGGTTGCTGGGGGGAGGGGGGTTGGCAGAGGGGGGTGGGGTTATGGTCATTGGGGAGGGTATGTGCTATGGTGAGTGTTGTGAAGTGTGTAAATCTGGCGATTCACAGACCTGTACCCCTGTGGATAAAAATATATTATATGTTTATAAAAAATTAAAAAAAAAAAAAAAAAGCATTGGCTTCTGCCCCCAGCTCCTCCTGCTGACCTACCCTATAGACTTTGGGCTTACCAGGCCCCACAATGGTGGGAGCCAAGTCCCTAAAATAAAATAAATCTGTGTGAGGGTGTTCAGTCCAAGGGACACTCGGTCAGAACGGTGTCCGAAAAGACCTTCCTGGATTCACCTTCAGTCCAAGGGACACTCGGTCAGAACGGTGTCCGAAAAGACCTTCCTGGACTCACAATCTGACATCATCCCCTGAACCTGTCTACATATTTATCAGCTGTCTCCTCCAATAGAAGGTAAATTCCACGAGGCAGGTAACTCTTCTCTCTTATCCCTGCTGTACTGCAGCGCTTGGAATAGCTCAAAAACTATTTGTTGAATAAATGGCAAAGGTACAGGGATTCACTCTCTAGAGCCTGTGTGGCCTCTTCTCATAAGGGACTGTCTCCTGTAAGTCCTGTCGGGCCTGCACACCAGGAAGATCCATTGCTCCCTTCACTGGAGGGAAAATTAAGGGCCTTCCTCCCTTGCTACCTCCTCCCCTCTCCCAAATAACTAGTGGATATTGGTCCCAACACCATTTATTAAGAAGTTTCTTTTTCTGACTGGGGGTGAGAGGTAGGTGGGAATCATGAGATAAATCATGAGTTAAATTTTAATATATTCTAGGCTGTACTTCTGGCCTATTTCATTATAGCTTGTATCACTCTCTCACAAATTTAATTACTGTGCTTTTAAAGTATACAGTAATATCTTAATACGGGGGTCCTCTTCATTCAGATCTTATTTTTTGTAAATGTATCTAAATTATTCTTGACTTTTTCTATCAGGTTTTCTATCAGATTTTCTTTCTTTTGAGAAGTTAAAAAAATGTCTGGTTCAGATTTGGATTTGATTTACATCAGGCTTCTGCCCTAATTTTGGAAGAATTCACCTTTACATTATCTTTTCTTCCATTAGATGGCTATGCAGTTTTCTAAAGTTTTAATGTCCTATTTTTTGTTCCTAGTACGGAGAGAATTCATTTTCATTTTATCTGCTCTCGCCAGCTCCCAAACTTGGTTTGAGATTCATCCGTGAATTTCATTGCAGATTAATGGCTAAACTAGAAGCCCCTGACACGAGGAGTTCTAATGTAAATCTTGGAATTGACACTTGGGCTGTAGTACTGTGTAATTACATCCAATGATGTGGATTTATGAATATAACTGCTACTAACAGACCATTTCTTCCAAAAGAATGGGTTTTTATTTTGCATTTATTTGTGTTCAAGGTTGTGGTAATCTTTTTTTTTTTTTTTAAAGATTTTTATTTATTTATTTATTTATTTGTTAGGGACAGAGGGAGAGAGAGCGAGCGAGCACAGGCAGACAGAGAGGCAGGCAGAGGCAGAGGGAGAAGCAGGCTCCCTGCCAAACAAGGAGCCCGATGTGGGACTCGATCCCAGGACCCTGGGATCATGACCTGAGCCGAAGGCAGCCGCTTAACCAACTGAGCCACCCAGGCGTCCCGGTTGTGGTAATCTTTTGCAGGCTCTGTGTCTCAGGTAAATGTTCATGATCTCTGGCCTTATGCAGGCCTTCCTTGCTGTGTGGGGATCCTTTCTATTTGTCCATATAATTTCCTTTCCCACTCTATGCAAGAGCTATTCCAAATCTTCTCTACAATCTGGAAATGTCAATTCTACCACCCCTTCGCCTTCAGAAGACAGACTTGCTTTTCAGTTCAGAGAGCAGGGGGTAAATGGGGGGGGGGTGGGATACAGAGCATAAAACAAAACCTCTCCAACTTCCTGACATCAAATTTACACAATTCCTTGTATCTGGACCAAATCTGCCTGCTCTTGCAGTGCTGATGCCTTATCTGTTTTCTGGACCTTGTCCCCTCCATTTCGCCAAGAGTCCCTATTGTGGGACATTTATGTCATTGTTTCCCTACAAGAATAATGCAATGCTTGATGGACTGTACTGGTGTACCCTGGGTGGCTTGTTCAGTTTTTCCATAGGATAAAGGATGCAAAGTACAGTTGCTGGACCAAAGGGTGTGCCCGTTCTGATGGCTCGGACTTACCCAGTTCCCAGCACACTAACGCGGGCTCCTACTATTTTGTGTGCATTAGACTGCCTATTTCCCTGAACTCCTAGCAACGTCGGTTATGATTCTTTTTAGTCATCCAATTTGTTAGGCAAAGTGACATTTCGGTATTTCAATTTGCATTTTTGTTGCTCGTCTAAACAAATGATGAACTTTGCCCTGTTCATGGCTGTCTTCCCAGCATCTTACTGTGCATTTGTTGAATGGGAAAGATGAATGTGCAGACCATATGCTAAGTTCTGAGCTACATGTTGAATTAGATACAGTTGAAATACAGTTTAAGCTAAATATTTTTTTCACATGCTTATTGGTCATTTACTTTTTTTTTTTTTTTTTTGTGAATTGCCTGCTCATGTGCAATGCCCTTTTTACCCATTAGCATTATGAGGCTAAGTTAATTGTTTGCCCATTATGTATGTAAGCAATATGTCTTCTCAGTTATTGTTTGCCTTTTAACTTTATGGCTTTTGAAGGATGAACATGTCTCCCCCCACCCTCACCAAGATTTGTTGAGATATAATTGAGACATAACATTGTGTAAATTTAAGATGTATAACATGATGATTTGATACACTTATACACTGTGAAAAGATTACCATAATAGGGTTAGTTAACATCTCAATCATCTCTTATAATCTC